CACAAATTAGTTAGCGTAAATCAGTTAAATGATGAAAAATTAGGTGTCTATTTACTTGTGACCACTCAGTGTACAATAGGTTAAAGTGCACATCACAACTTTGCAGTTACATTCAAAATTTAATTAAATTCCATCATTATCAATGAATACAAATAAATCTGGGATAAAGATTTAGTTAATAAATCAAATTTTAATATTATATATATGTTTTAAATTTTTAAATTCAAAAGAAAATATTTAAATAACTTCACAGTTTCCACTTGTATATGTATTGTGACATTTATTCGCTTCAACTTCTATATTTTTATCTATTGTTATAAAAGTAACTAACATATAAAAATTAGAAACTTACGAGATTAGATTAGGTTAAATAACAAAAAAAATTTCTCCACAAGGTAAGCTCACAAGTAGCTCATGCATTACATCATTCAATATGGTAACTTAAGCTATGCATTTGATGTGTGATTTACAATTTTATTGTGGGATTATTAATTAGAGTTCAAAGAGCAATATTGAATAAAAAAAATATGTAAATTGCATGAGTTTTAAATAAATAATTGTAATTTTGTGTTAAAATCTGCAGTAATTTTGATTTAGTTCATCTTTTTGTGGTAGGTACAAGATTGATCAAGTATACCAAGTACATGTAGAGTTAGGGTAGAGAAAATAACAGATAAAATATAAAGTAAGAAGAAGAAAAAATTCATGTACATTTAAGAGGGCTTTGGGGTTATGCAAAGAAAATTTAAAAACTGTAGGAATAAAAACATTTTTAATTTTAACATGACAATCATTTTGGACTCAGACTAGTCAGTACTTTGACTTTCTATGTATTCATGGATATTTCTTTAGGAAAATACTTTATTATACTTAACAAGACATTGTAGGAAAGTAAGATCATTGTGAGGAGCAAAAATAGCACTAAGACTAGTAAACCATGCCCAAAGATGCAAATGCCACAGAGTCCTCTTTCCTTGTGGCCAATGAGCTTAAACTGTCCCATAAACATCTAGATCTTGAGGGCGTGTAATGTCTTGGCCATCCATCGTGCATATGCAGGGCGCCAGGTGCTATAAATCACACTTCGTAAAGAAAGGTTATGACTAGTTCAAGAAGCTCTCGATATATGTCTCTAGGTTTTCTGACCTGAAGTTGTCATGTAGCAACCTCGGTGACACTGTCCTTAACTTTTGTTGCTTCAGCTGCAGTTTCATAGCTGTACTGGTCCATATACTCCTAAGATTGATGGAATTGATTGAAAATTACAATATCTAGACCAAAATAATGTCCCATACAGTCTTTGAAAACATGTGCCAGGACAAGTTCTAAGATATGATTATTTAAGTTGTTTCAAATTGAAAAAAGTCACAATATGCCCTGGTTAGCCTTTTTAGATTGTGAGAAATTTGGTTATGATCAACACTTATTTTTCAAATATGTAAACTATTAACCATGAACTTGATGTTTTGTTATAAAAGACTTGTTTCTGCTGTGATTCTTGAGGTGTACATTCAAAACTTTTTTGTAAAACTAATAGAGTATATATATTCTATTCAGGTTAAACAACATACAAAATTAAGTATTATAAGCCATCAGTATCAAAATATTGCAGGCATAAGGACTTCATTTAAAAGAAAAAAGGGGGGAAACATGTTGCAGATAATTTCAAGTTAGCTGAACTTTGTAAGAACAATTAAAATATGAAAAACCCATTTTTGAAAGTTTAGAAAAGAGGATCAGTCTGATTGGCCTACGTTTTGAAAGCTTACTTGAAAATTGAAAGATGAATTATGAAATGAAGGTTTACAACTAAAATAATATCTTAGTAATGTTGAAGTATTAGTGATGTAGTATATATATATATATATATACAGTAATGGAAATAACTATGGAAACACATAAGCAATATATACATGAATCACAAACAGTGTTAGATGGTGAATTGTTATTGGTACTAAATATTGTCATAGAACAAAAGAAAAGCAAATAAGTTGAACAATGTACAAGTATTTTTTATGTGAGCCCTTTGCTTTATACAGAGCATTAAACCTTGTTTTCATGCTGCCAAACACTATCATTGTACAGCTGTGGAATGTTGTTCTAAATGTCCTGTGTTACTCCCTACGATTCAGATAAATTGTTTGGTAGCCTCTTAACCTTCTCAGTTTTTACATAAGCTCGTACATCCTAAAGAATGTTTATATATGTAGGATCTTGTGTAATTCAAGCTGTTGTTCTGAGTTTTCCATTGGGCAAAATATAATTTCACCACATTGTTTTATTCTTGATGTCATTGCCTTACTGGAAGATTATGATGAATCATGTTCTTGAAGAAATGACACAGTGGATCAGAATCTGATTGTTCTTCTCATTATTCAGGGTGCCATCAGTTTTGTGTATATCACTGACAACATTGTGTAACATGCAACTCCAAACTTGTACTGATTCCTCCATCATGCTTCACTCTCTGCCATTGAATAAATGTTTTTTCGTTATTGCCAAACAACTCAAACTTGGATTCATTTGCAAAGAGCACAGGTCTCCAGTTTTTCTCATTCCACTGTTTCTGGTACAATACCAGTTTAGACTTTTTCTTAGTTTGGCTATTTGTTCTCAGCAGCAGTTATCAACAGCACTTGTTCATTGAAACCACTGTGTGCTAATGTGTATCTTACTGTTTTAAAGGTAACATTCACACCTATATTTACATCAAGATATTTGCCAAGATCTATACTTGACTTCATTTATATCATACAGAGCATATCCTGAGGTACTTAACATCAGTACATTTTTGATCTTGCACACTTCTAGTGTTAACAGAGTTAGTTTCATGTACCCTCTTTAGATTTTGCTTACAGATTCTACTGCAATATTTCACCTGAAGTATCTTTGACCAGCCAAGACTTTGAGTAAATCATGCTTTTCATGCAGTATTTCAGTCCTGGAAGCTGTGACTGGATCCTACTATGTATAGTATGATTGCCTATATTTTTAATCCTCATATTGATGAAAACCAATTGTAGTATAAACTATAAACACATGACAGTGCTCTAGTGAAATTTGTTTTCATATGGTAAAGGGATGGCATTTCCATAGTATTTGCTTTTTTTATATACTGTTTGCATAAATATTTCAAGTAAAGTACATAAATAGTTGTTAATCATAAATGATAAGTATTTTTGTAAGGATTTCATTGGTAAAAACTACAAGTGTGTGAGTTTTTGTGTCTGTGTAAGGAACTGACTAAAAACATGAGTTAAAATGCATAGGGGACTTCAGAACCAGTTAGTTAGATTAATCAAAATATTGATGGTATTTTTTGTTTATGTGTGGCTCATATTATTTAATGTTGTTCTCAGTCTAAAATACCAGAATGTTTCATATTATAAAATCTAAGATAAGTATAAAACTATTTATAATTCTACATTGTATAAGAATAATGAGAAAACCAATTGAAACTTCTCTGGCTTATTCAGACATAAAGAAGCAAATTCTTTAGTAGATGTTAATTACTGTTAGTAACCAAAAAAGATGAAAGTGAGTTTACAAAAACTTGAAAATGTTCATTTTGTTTTAATGTTAAACAATCTGATCCTGTGGCTGATAGCACATGAACTATTTCAAAATAGAAACGAGCATGTTTCTTTAAGACATAATTTATTCTGAGGTTTAAGTAGCTAGTCTCATAAACTGAACATTACAGTGAAATCAGAGATATGAATAAAATTCATTTTCTATTATATTTTAATTAAAATCTGTGAGAGAAATTTAATTTACAGGGAATTGTATTTGCATGTGAAATAGGTTGATTGTGGATTAGGAGTTGTTAATTACCCAGTTAAGCAATTTTTGCTTTAAACTGTTTTTAATATTAATTTATTGTACAAAATAAAATAAAAATCTGGGTATTGCGTAATGATTTATATTCCATGATTTCTTTTTATAAGAACACCAAATATTTTTTCTGTTGTTGTTTAGTACAAAGATAGTGACATCAAAACTGTGTATGATGATATCCTGATTGCTAAGTTGCGACCCGGACACGTAAGTATGGTGAAATGTAAGAACTATTAAAGCATGATTTAGATATGCTAATTTTTCAGAAAAGTATTTTGTGAAAATCTCAAAATATCATTCCATTGGAAATTTAATTTCTTATTAAATATCCAACAAATCAGCACTTAAATATATATATTGCTAATAATGTTAAAGCTAGACATCTCTGTAGTTTTGGTAATCTCTTTATTGAGTGTATTTAGTTTACGAGAGAAATAGGCATAAATACAATAGTAGATTCTTCCAAACATGCGTACCTCCACTGACACTAATAGCTATTTCTCGATCTTCATCTTTGCCATCTAACATTGTGTTCACTTGCTCCAGTCCTTATATACCCCACTCGACTGCCCTCGGCAATATCTAATTTGCAAAACTTTATGCTGGCCCTCACACGTCCTCTGTGCAGGTACAATATATAAACACTGTATGAAGACAATAAAAACACTTTTTCTCGACAAAGCGAGAGCATTCAGACTAACGTTTGTGATTTACGTTTTCTTAGTTTTCGCTTTCTAATAATCGGGAATTTTTTGTTCTGTTATCCAGAGATATATTTCGCTGAATTTGTTTTTTTTTTCCTACAAATATATTACGAAAAAAAAAATGGATATGAATTCGCATGTAACAGTTTCTAGCATGGAGGCTACTCAGCCTTTGTCTACTCCCCCTTTGTTGTCTAGTAGTGATCAACAGTCGGGGGGGGGGGCGACTCTCTGTGGAAGCTGTCCGTGACCTGATTCTAGGTGAGATTGAGTCCATCATGCAGCCCAGGAGTATCTCTCCACTCTGCCCCTTTTTTCTACAGTTAGTTACACATGTTTGTGAAGTTTTGGAGGTGCAACTAGTTGCTTTTTAGTCTACCCTGCTGTGTAAACAGTTTTTAAGGGGGTTACTTAGTTTTTCCTCCTTCTCCTGATATTGCTGGGCATGCAAGGAGGTTTGCAACACAGCATGGGATATGGGTACCGTGACCCCATAAATCCAACACGAGTTGTGGAACCTCGACCGTTTGATTGGGGCTAGACCATCATACTTGTATTATATTCCACCATTTTCAATTTTATGTAGTTCTGGGTGAAGAGCATACCTGTTCTGGATGTAATGCGGTGTTTCCCATTTTGATACCACTTCTCGTGGTACATTTTTTATCTCTGTCCTCACTGGCCCCTCTGTCTTCTCAATGTGAGATTCTAGCTATTAGTATCAGCAGAGGTATGTGATACATCACAGTAACACATACCAGCAACTTGGGAAGTGATACATCACAGTAACACACATCAGTAACTTGGGAAATGATACATCACAGTAACACACATCAGTAACTTGGGAAATGATACATCACAGTAACACACATCAGTAACTTGGGAAATGATACATCACAGTAACACACATCAGTAACTTGGGAAATGATACATCACAGTAACACACATCAGGAACTTGAGAAATGATACATCACAGTAACACACACCAGTAACTTGGTAAGTGATACATTACAGTAACACACACCAGTAACTCAGGAAATGATGCATCACAGTAACACACACCAGTAACTTGGGAAGTGATACATTACAGCAACACACACCAGTAACTTGGGAAATGATACATCACAGGAACACACACCAAGAACTTATGGAGTGATATATCACAGCAACACACACCAGTAACTTGGGGAGTGATACTTCACAATAACACACACCATTAACTTGGGAAGTGATACGTCACAATAACACACACATCAGTAACTTGGGAAGTGATACGTCACAATAACACACACATCAGTAACTTGGGAAGTGATACGTCACAGTAACACACACCAGTAACTTGGGAAGTGATACAACTCAGGAAATGATACATCACCACAACACACACCAGTAACTTGTGGAGTGATGCACTTCAGGAAATGAAAACTTTTGAATAGTGACAAAAAGTAGTGAAGGAGAAATAAGAGTCACTATAAAGAAGGTTCTTTGTCTTGACAACTTGCCAGGAGAATAACTGTGTGTAATTGTTATGACAAAGATAAGTAATTTAGCTTTTAGATTAAAATGTTAGCTTTTAACTGTTATATGGTTAAAAATATTGAATATATATGAAACTTCTTCCTTTATACATAATACAGTAAATGTTATTAACAAGAAAGAATAATTGTTATTTACTAATAAAAACTTTTCATTTCAATTTTTGATCGGATAGTGCTTTTTAACTTTAACTGAAAAATATTTCTTTATACTTTAAAAACATATTTTTACTTAATTAATAGTTTGTTTTAGATCAGAAACCTTTTGACTTTAATTTTATGATTCTAATGTGTGTGAATTTTTATTTAATCCTGCTTATAACTTTAAATGTATTTTATTTTTGGAAAGAAAACATTTGAAATAGAAAAATTATTCCTTTTGCTTCTAGGAATTAGACATGAAAATGCATTGTGTGAAAGGAATTGGAAAGGATCATGCTAAGTTTTCCCCTGTGGGTAAGTATGAAAATATTTTATTTATGATTTGGTATTTTTGATATTGTTGTAGTTACCTGTAAGTTTTTTGTAGTTTCTGAAATGAAAAGTTTCTCAAAGGATACAAAGGCATGTTGGGACATTAATGTTGATAAGATGTAATTTTTGATGTATGTTAGTTGGTGTAGGTTGAAATTGAAACTTAATGTAGAAAATTGTTCTTAATTTATATGCCATTTATTGATTTTTGAATATTTTAGCCACAGCTTCTTACCGACTTCTACCTGAGATAACTCTATTACGGGAAATTGAAGGGGAACAAGCAGACCGGTTAGCAAAGTGTTTTTCAAATGGTGTGATAGAAGTGGTAAACTACCCAGATGGTTAGTTGTTCATGAATGTTTTTAAACTTTAAACTCAAAAGTTATTGAAAAATGTTACACAAGAAAATAAGTTTACCTGTAGGATGACCTGGTAATTTGTTTGGTATTTAAGTAATACAGTTCTGTATAAGTGGCTATATAGCTAGTCTGAGTTATAATGCAAGAACACCTTATTTTAACTGAACATACATTTCCTTTAGGCCATAGACTAATAATATATATCTATATCTTATAAACTTTTGTAAATTTTATGTTTCCTTTATAATCTTACATGATTTTATTTCCAAAGGAAGAAGAGTGGCAAAAGTAAAGAATGCCAGAAAGGACACTTGTAGTCGAAATGTTTTTCAGCATGATGATTTGAAAGATTCTGTCAAGCTTACACGAGTGAAGGATCATTTTATATGTAAGTTAATTTACTGGATATCTTCCTTCCCAGTTATTTGATATTTAAATAAATTAAAATAATTCAACTAAAAATTATTTTCTATGTTCTGAAGACTGGTCTCCTACTTAAAAATCATTAACTTTGATAGCTTAAGACAAGTAGTTTTAAACAGATATGTGTGTCTTTCATACTCACGTACCACATATGTCACTTCTTAGGGGTGATCAATTATCTGTGTACAGCTTAACTTTGTTCATCGTGGTGTAATGGAATTAAAAAGGTTTTGGATTATTCCATAATCTAAAACTATTTTGTGTTCTTTTAATGATGAATTTTCTGCAAAAACCAAGAAGAAAATTATTCCATTTGTATGATCATGTTTATGTTTATTCATAATTAAACTTAACACACATGTTGTTTGGCCAATTTGAACCACCAAGCAATTTTTGCATAATAATCATTTCATTACACATTGAAAGAGTCTTTGGCTTATGTAAGTAACTTAATGTTTTATTCATCTTGAAGACCATGTGAATGTTTAAAAAATTTAAGACTTAACATTAATTCTGATGCCCCTAGTTTGTGTTGGAAGACAATGATATTTTTCTAATCCAATTCTGGCTTATTTTTGTTCACTTTTTGTTTGTTTTTAGTCCCTTCATTGTGGCAGGAGCTTTTATTCTCTGTGCAAAATTTGTTTTGGTAGTTTTTTACATTGATCTGACTTTTGCTATGTAATTTAAAAATCACTAAAAATAGATTCTTTATGATATCATAGTAGAGTCCTTTGTTTTGTGACATCATCTTTTAATAGCACACTAAAAATTACTAGTGCAACATTTTTAAGCCTACTGCTCTCAGTTACAAAATTTATTCATCTTGATATACATAATGCAGTGCACACTTTACAGGTATCCATTATACCAAACTTATTAAATCCTGGTGCTTCTCTGACATTCACTGCTTTGACTTTTCTGGGATAATAGGGAGGGTAACCTTTTGTACAAGTGAAAGCATAGTATATCTTGTTTCTTTTTTAAGTTTGTCAAGGTTAAACAACAAAATACAACTGCAGGAGTAAAGTGGTGAATGTTGGAGAAGCTCAAGGGTTTATATGCTCATAGCTGAGGGACATTAATCTATGTGAGAATATATAGGAAGGAAGTTAGTGTATGCTGTAGATTTTACAACACAATATAAACAGATAGGTCCACAGCAAAAGGGTCAATATGTCAAACAGAATACATACTCATTATTAAATAAGTAATGTTGTTCTTTTGTTGGCAAATTCTTTTAAACTATCTGGTGAAAATAATTCAATGTCCAGTCCAGGTAACAATTAGATTATTTCCTCATTTAATGTTCCTAAAATTTCATCAGCACCTCACAGCAAAAACAAACGAGGTCAAACACAAGAATTATATTTCTTGTTTTTCATGTATATTTTTTAGTTATTGTTATAAAAGAAACCTAGAAACTTATTAGGTAAGAAAATGAAAAATAGTAATAACAATTCTTTATGGGGTAAGCTTGCGAGCAGCTTGTGCAATATGTCATTCAGTATGGTAACATGAGCTGTGTGTTTGCAGGGTGACTTAACTTGAATGGCAGGATCATTAATTATACATGGTTCAAAGAGAAATAAAATTAAGTACAAAAAGGTGTATACTGTTATAAACCTTAAGCTATTTAGGATAAACAATTGTTGTGTTGTGTTACGATCTGCAGTCATTCTGGAAAGGAAAAAAAAATGGGTAATTTAAATGTATTTTTTATTTTGGATACAAGGTTGATGAAACTGACAGAGTCCATATACAGTTAGTGTAGAGAAAGTAACATATTAAATACTAAGTTTTTCTGAAAAAAAAAGTTTGATATTTATTTAGAAGGTTTTAAAGGTTATGAAAATATAATTTGAAGATTTTTCAGATGAAAAAACTATTTTTAATATTAACATGAAAATCACTTTGCATTTGGAGCAGCCAACACTTTGACTCCATGTATTCATGGACATATTGTTAGTAAAAATAGCTAATTAAAAATAGATTTTTTGTATGCAAAAGACTTGTAATGTTTAGTAAAAGCTTGCCAAATTTCGTAAAGATACATTAAGTACTTTTATAATTGTGCTATATTTATACCTTCATAGTTCTATGGTGGTTATATAATCTATCTATATATCCTGAGTAAGATGATTTTGAGTGACTGTTTTGTTTATTATATTATTCAGCTTCCATGTTTTTATTATTGCAAGTCTCAGAAAAGGAATGAATAAAGAAAACACTACTCAAGTGTTATAATGACACATTATGTAAACTATGTATGCTTCTATTCATCTTAAAAGAAATCTTATACATATTGCAAACCTTGGTGTCTGTCTGAGCATTCATTTGTCTCCCATTTGAAAAGCTCCACTTGCAGGCAAAGCTCAACATTCACTGTTGAAATGATGGGAGAACAGGCATGAATAATGTTGATGCCAAATCTTATTTTGCAAGCAGGATATTCTACACTAAATTGTTGGGAATTAATCACACTATCATTCACATTTCACAATGTGATGAAACTTAAAGAATAAAAATGCAGATTTATTGTATGTTATTGGGAGGTATAAGTCGCTCAGAGCCAAGAGTGCAACAAAATTAACCTTTTTAAAGTACATTAAATAATTGAAATTGATAGATTAACTTAAACGTTTTCCACTTCTGGGGATGGGTACTTTTGCTTGTGAAATATAATAGCCAAACTCAGAGTAAATACACATTCCACACTTATTATCAAACTGTTACTCTTTTTATACAACTTATGAAACTGAGTGATGTTCTGTTTCAAAATTCCTGTTATTCAATTGAGAATCAATTTAATGAAGTTGAACTTCATGACAAAGTAAATGTTCATACCAGGATAATATCTGTAGAAGATTCTGAAACATTAGGCAAGTGAATCATGACTGAAAATTGAAGTGTAATGAAAAGTAAACCTTGTGAGATATATATATATATTTTATTACAGGATCTTTGCTAGTAAACTGGTGATTTTAGAAGCTCAGCAATTGATGTATTTTGCCATCTCTTTTGTTTTTAAGCTTTATGGATTAACAAATAAGACATTAACCCTTTCACTACGGGCTCGGTCCCAGGGAGTGACCTTGTAACCATTTTGTGCTTGTTATAGTTTATATACTGTAACTTTTAATACGCAAGCATGTCTTCATGAAATTTGGCAGATTATCATTAAGCATAATAAGGCTTTTGTAAACAAAAAATCAGATTTTGTAAGATTTTTAAATTAAACATTTGCTTGTGCATTTTGTCTTTCTGAATGTTAGTTATCCCACATGCAAAGTAATTTAAGAAATATAGAAAACAATGATCTCTACTACGTACAATTGTAAAGAAGTTTGTACTCGCTTGCCATACCTTGCATGCTAAGCCTTGCCGAATTTCACACAATATATCTTTTTTAGGTTATATATATATGCATTTTTGAAATAGAAAAATAAGAAATAATAAATTACTCTACCAATATCACAGAATTCCACTGTAATTTATCAGGCTTACTAACAAAGCTTTATTTCAATCTAAATAATAGTTTTTTTGAACACCATTCTCTCTTACTCCTTCTTACTAATAAAATTAGTATTGGGAAATAGAGATCTTGAATAGGTTGAGAAAACAATGTGGGGAAAGTTCTGAGCTTTTGATTGGTTATAAACACAATAGAGTGAAGCAGGTGTATATAAGCAAGTATTTCCAAAAATGAAAGAGGTGGGCGGAAACACTGTGTTTGATTCCAAAAATATAGTCATGTCTTAGTAAATAGAAAAGATAAGAGGTTCTTATTTTATATTCATGTGTAATTTGAGTTTCTAATCCTTAAAAAATTATGAACTTTGTATTTGGACATCACAAACATCTAATTTGAACCAAAGCTGCATTCAACATAGCACACGAGACACAAAAATCGACAATTACATATTTTGTTTTAATATTTACTTTTAAATTAAGAAACTAACTAATCTATAATACTAAAATTTGAATCATAATCTACAATTTGATACCACACTTATTAACATACATTCATAAAATAGTGGTTCAATAAAATTTTGAATGCAAGTCTGCAAACTTGATGACATTCCATTTGACCCTTGACCATAGGAAAAACATGTAGCAATAGGGTTACTTCTTTTTATGACATAGGCATTTTTTTGTGTTGTACTTAATGTTCATCATAAAATTGTATGGTTTTTACAGGAGCTTTGCCATGTGCCATAAATCACTAATTTAGAGGACAATAAAAGTTACAGATTTCCCATGGTAAAACCACTGTTTGATTCAAATACACATTCCACCTGTGTATCTTAATTGATAGGAGAGGACGCTTCAATACAACCCACATTGTTTTGCATCATTATTTTACAGTTTTTTTCTGATGCTCTACTTTGTAACATTCTTATCACATCCAGTGTCAATTAAGAATGCTAATCATATTTATAAAATCTCACTATCCAGATTTTATTTGTATTTAACTTCATCTCACTGCTCATAATTTTTTTCCTTTACTACATGTAGTTTATTTTGCATCTTCTTATCATATAATTCATTAAATATAAATTTCTATATATATCTTTCTGTTCCACTTGAGGGGTCTGTTGTCTGCAGCTAACCAAGAAATTCAAGGAAATTTTAGAATGTCTTTCTACAATTGTCCTGCAATTTGTGTCAAGAATTCATATTAAAGGAACCCATTTCATACTACAGTTGAAAACAACAGCTTGGATTTGTGTAGATAACTGTGTCTTTAGGTTGGTTAGAGTGATAATAACAGTAGAAAGTTTGTCACAATTATACTTCTTTTCAACCCCTTTTGTGAACATTTTCAGGTTCTGTGGAATCAACAGGAGCATTACCACCTGATACATTAGTTTGTGAAGCCATTAAAGTTTTGATGGGAAAATGTCGTCTTTTTCTCAATGAACTTGATTCAGCTGGAGTAGGTCGATTGTAGTCTTCAAACCAAATACTATTAAACTATTTCTGTTTCCGATACTGTGAAACCAGACTACTAAATTTTAGTGTGTTTTGAAGAGTGATTATAAGGTATGGTATTTGTTCGTAAACAATTTTAATAAAACACATGAAAAAGGTTGTTACTGTGGAATATAAGGTATTTCTAAAAAGTATTAGTGATATTGTGGAACAGCTTCCATTTACAAAAAATATTTCCAAACATTTTGAGTAATTTTTAATAGCTCATTAAGAATAAATTAACAAAATTATCCAAAAAGTTCTTGTATTTGAGCAGGTGAGAAACTGATAAAATATATATCAATTCATTCAAATTGCAGACTTTTTCAGAATCAACAATTTTTGTCAAGAGATAATTAAATTAGTTTGTAAGGACAGCACAAAATTTTGGACAATACAAGCAGAGTTTCCACAGGATAAGATGGAGTAATTTGGCAAATCATTACTCAAAATGCAAATCTGCCATATTTTTATTCCCAATTGTCAAAACCTATACAAATGGCCTAAATGTTTGGTGCAATAACGAATTTCTTGTCCATAAAACTGTTGTCACATAATTCTACATTGCATGTACCAAAGTTAAATGTAGTTGGAGCATGCAGAAAAAAAAAGTTTTAAGACAGTTGAAACATGGGTGTGTGCAGGATGTCAGAAACTTACTTTTTAGTAGTATATATAGTAATGTAAATATATGGGTGTGTTGGGCTAAAAATTCTTCTGCAGCAGGTGCCTGTGACTTGTTGGTGCTAAATTCGACAGTAAATGAACAGCATACACTCCTTGTTTTTGAAATAATATATATATTCAAAACAAGTTAAATGTATGTACAAAACTCTTTACACTATGGAGATCATAGTTGTAGCTTAAACACTATACAGTTCTCTTCTTCTTGTCAAAAGTCCACTTTGGCCAATTCAATTGCTATAGAATTCAATTGACAAGCCAAACTTATTTTTATCAAATTTTATCGCAATAGTATCCATGTATAATTCACTTACTCTGTTGCGTGAGTTACTGTAGTTGTATCCTGAATTTCCAGTAATTGTCTGCTCTTCATACTTCAAATAATCGTCTGCCTTTTGTCAAAGTCCACACAGATGGGTTCAGTTAGTTTAGAACACCCTTTGATGAGACAAATTATTCTCCTTATCTTTTTCAAATTGTTAATCTCATTATAACATATCAAACATTAGGCCATTCATTCCCACGATGGTTAACTTTATGTTTTCTATCTTTTCTCTGACCGAACTTCTCTTTTACCTGACTTTACTTTTACTCTGTTTCTGTTTGTCTGGTCACAGCTATTTATACATCTGTCATTTAGGCCTTCTAGAAATCTCCATAGCCTTGACATCAATGGATTCCAAACAAAATATTTGATAGCCTTGACATCAAGGAATTACCAACACAAAATAAATTAATTAATAATACAACCTACACTAAACAGTCTTTTATATATGACACAGGATATATATAATGACCAAATTATATCAAAGCTATAATTAGGGAAACACAAAATTGATAATCCAGGGGGGGTGTATGCCCACAAATGGAAACCATGTTCCAAATATGTGTTAATTGGCAGATCTGCATATTTAGTTAAATCCCTTGCCTATTCAGAATACACCCTCAATATATAAATATTAAGTGAGGTTGGCAAAAGGTTTAATTTGAAGTTTATTATAAGAATAAAAAATACATGAAGTTCAGTTAAATGTTCTTTGACTGATTTCTACAAGAAATTTAATGTTACATAATGAACTACCAAGTTGTATGATCTGTAGTTAATTAAACCATTTCTGGACTAAGGGGTGTCATTTAAATGACTTGATTACTTTTCCTTCACACAGTGGAAGTATTTAATCAAATTGCTTGAAACTTAGTTAAATTAGAAGCCAATATGCCTAAAATTTGTGATCAAAATAATGTAAACTGAAGATTTTTCCACATTCCTGTTAATTAGCCCATTTCAGATTCAAAATCAGAGGCGTTTATTAATATCATTCTGGATCTCACTTTTCAGTTGGGCTGGATGAAGAAACAAAAAAAATCTTGGGCAATATATTTCTATGTGCATATAATAATTAAAAAGGTAGTAAAACATTAGAAACCCAGAGGCTTAAAACTTGTAATACAAATCACATACATTGCAGGTGTTTTTTCCATATTTTACATAATAGTATATAGTTTTAGCTTTAAAAAAAAATATATATGAATATATGTTTTACATTTTCTATCATTTTATACATTATGAAATTTCCAAAGTTTTTTGTATTGTTTTGAAAAAAAACATCAAATATACCTCCTTAAATATTAAAATTTTAATTTTTTGTATTTTTGGTCAGAGCTGTGGTTAAGGGCCCCCACAAATGGGGGGGGGGGGACATTTGGGCCTTATTGAATTGCACAGAAATGAATATCCCAAAATACTTTCTGCTTGGAATACCAACCTACCTATCACATGTATGTGAATATTTAATTGTATATTATATATATATATATATATATATCTGCGTGTGTGGATTTGTGTGTATGTATAGGCCTATATGAATCTCTTTGTGGGTATACGTACATGCTACTAATAAAGAATATGTGCATAATGTCGCTGGTACTGTGAAGTGCCTACTGTTCTTTGACACTATACATTGTGTGTGCTCCAGTCAAAAACATCAATGGCTCAGACCTTTCACCTTGTGATAAGGGCACTCAATTCACAATTTGCCGGTCCAAATCCCCATCATTAAACATGCTCCCCCTTTCAATCATGTGAGCATTATAATGTGATGGTCAATCTCACTATCCTTTGATAAAAAAAAAGTAGCCCAAAAGTTGGTGGTGTCGACTAGCTGCCTTACCACTAGTCTGTCACTGCTAAATTAGGGATGGCTAGCACAGATAGCCCTCAAGTAGCTTTGTGCAAAATTCAAAAACAAACATTATTTCAGTGATAGAATGTGAATGCTTACATGGACTGAGTAGCTTACATTCTTTATAAAAAGTGACCCTTGAGTCCTTTAACCAACAATAAATGCATGACACTAAATGAGTTAAAAGTACAGAATATATAGACTTACCACCTTCAAATTCATAATAATTATTATTTTAATCAAATTTATTGTTAGGTGGCAACACCTTATGTGAATCTTTGATGTCATCATGTCAAAGTTGAAAAGACTGTTATTAAAATACCTATGTCTACATAATCGTTAACTTTGTTGAGCTAGTAGATTCAATAAAACACTAACTTGTAGCTACTAGTGTCAACCTCTTTGTTTCAACTTTCCAGACAGACCATGAGATTATAAGAGATTTGGCTCTCCCAGACTTCTCAGATTATTATTGTATTAACAAGATGATGAATATGTCAAATTCACTATTAATCAATTTTTTTGTGTAATGGCAGTAATTGGTCCATTACACTTTCTTATTCCACAAAGGATATCCATGGGCCTTATTCACTATCTCAATGTGCAAGCACAAGAGGAGGCTAGACCTGCTGCAGTGCTACTGTAAACATGGTGACCAGTACTAGTGAAGTCAATATGCATGACATTTGGCACATAAACGTTGTACCTGTATTTCGTGCAGGCACTATGAAGGACTTAATATCCAAACAAAAGGCTGTTAAAGTGACATCAAGCAGGGCATATAAAATTTTCTTGGAGGGCTATATTCATAAGACTGAAGGCAAGTTTCTTAGCTGCCATTACCAGTCAGTCTGAAAATGATTGAAACAATGTTGAAACTATATCTGATGTTAATTATTTAAGCATAATTTTTTATATTGTAGAACAGTGATGAAATTACTATAATCACAGATATGAATTAATAGACTTACCATCAGAAAATTTTAAATATCATATCGATTTGTGTGATAAACCTGTTAAGTTAGGTTGATGAACCTTTCTATGCATGTAGTCTAACATGTACAGGTAACCATGGTGACTTGTATGTTAACAATAACTGTCATATACATAATCATTTCAAATTTCTGAGTTAAGTAGGCCTACATCACTGGCCTTTA